TAACTTTTTCCAGGCAACTTTATCACCATTAATGCCGTCATAAAACTAAACGGAATAAGATCTAGCAAAATGGCTTTATATAAAATCAATTGAGTCTACAAATTATTTTCATAAAAGCCGCATTAAAATGTTTTGCATTTCTTAGCGATTTCATGAAAGCAAAATAGCTTTTTCACAAATTGCTTATGGAAAATTAATGTTTATGCTATCGCCATATTGTTATTATTGCATTTGCTTTTTTACAATCTTCGGTCTTCAAGATGTTTTCCTTTATAATAACTTTATTTTCATCAATTCATCAATGAGCAATAATAGAGATTACGAAAATTATCAAATTGTCTCGACTGGGAGCAATGATTAACATAACATATAACAATATTTTTTTTCCTAAATTAAACATAATTAGTCAAATCAAATGAAGGCGGACTTACTTTTTTCGATCTTCCGTAGCACATTTCACATTAGATTTAATCTGTCACCTAAAAATAGACCACAATATGAGTTTCGATCATTTTAGCAATTCTTTCAGTTTAATTATGAGGAAATTTATGAGGATTTTTGACAGATTCATTTTTGAACAATGAATTTGGCAAGATCGGACGATATTTATGTAGCCCTTTTTATCTTGATTGATGCTTTATTTTTAGTGCGCTTAGCAAGCGTCAAAGGCAAATGGCACAAGTATTGATGCCAAATGGCTTTTATTGTACTTTTAATATGGATTTCAAATGGTTCTCAATGCATTCGTCATATAACCTTTTTGCAGCGAGTCATTCTTGAAATGTCTCGATAGTACACTCTTTAGAACCTTCTTCAGGGTGGGCCAACTAGATAGATTCTAGTCTTAATGAGGTTTTGGTGGATGTAATAAAGGCAAAGCTCTCTTGACCAGAGATTTATGAATGTTGTTTTATATAAGCCTTGTAGTACTTCATAAAACGTAAAATGTTACTTGGGAATGGTCTGAGGTTTCATTCGAACAGAGAATGGTGGTTTGGTACAGTGTAGGTGGGCAGCAGAGATTCCAGATATTTTTTTTTTGAAAGTCTTCGATGAAAAGTTGAAATATCTGGGAATTTTCAAAAATGTCTGCAAAATCGTTTTTGACCAAACATGAACTGATATTTACAAGTAAAACTAGTAGATGCAACACCCCGTTCACACCACAGCCTATTTTAAACCATTAACACCCAGTGATCTTTTTATAGATTAGAAGCCTCTAACGCCCAGTGATCTATTAATAGATCATTTGCATTTTTCGTTAGCGTCGAGAAGCTCAAAAGTTTTCGATTCTCAAATCACCATCATCAATATCAACCAAGATCAAAATCATCGAAAATCATAGGATTAGAAGATATGTGAAATTATAAAGTTTGGGGTATTCCGAAATTCAAGTCAACATTCCGGATGAAATTAAAATGGTAGATTTAAACCCAAGATGGCTCCCAAATCCAAGATGGCGGACCAAAATCCAATATGGCGGCCCCCAAACAGGGAATATGCATCTAAATCTTTGCAATATGGGTATTCGCGCAATTGGCTCGATGAGTGGAAGTGAAAAATTGAAATCCGCTGCCATTTTGGAAATCAAAAACCCATTCTGCAGATACCCATATTGCATGAGTTTAGATGTATATTCCTATTGGATTTTGGTCCGCCATATTGGATTCCAAAATGGCGGCGGATGTCAATTTTCCACTTCCACTCATCGAACCCATTTCATAGATACCCATATTGCATGGGTTTAGATGAATATTCCTAGTCCGGGGGCTGCCAGATTGGATTTTGGTCCACCATATTGAATTACAAAATGGCGGCGGATGTCAATTTTCCACTTCCACTCATCGAACCCATTTCATAGATACCCATATTGCATGGGTTTAGATGAATATTGCTAGTCCGGGGGCTGCCAGATTGGATTTTGGTCCACCATATTGGATTCCAAAATGGTGGCGGATGTCAATTTTTCATTTCCACTCATCGAGCACATTCCGTAGATACCTATATTGCATGGGTTAAATGCATATTCCTAGTCCAGGGGCCGCCATATTGGATTTTGGTCTGCCATATTGTATCTCAAAATGGCAGCGGATGTCAATTTTCCACTTCCCCTCATCGAGCTCATTCCGTAGATACCCACATTGCATGGGTTTAAATGCATATTCCTAGTCCGGGGGCCGCCATATTGAATTTTGGTCCACCATATTGGATTCCAAAATGGCAGCGGATGTCAATTTTCCGCTTCCCCTCATCGAGCCCATGCCGTAGATACGCATATTGCATAGATTTAGATGCATATTCTTAGTCCGGGGGCCGTTATATTGGATTTTGGTCCACCATATTGGATTCAAAAATGGTGGATGTCAATTTTCCACTTCCACTCATTGAGCCATTGCATGGGTTTAAATGCATATTCCTAGTCCAGGGGCCGCCATATTGGATTTTGTTCCGCCATATTGGATTTTGGTCCGCTATATTGGATTCCAAAATGGCGGCGGGTGTCAATTTTCCACTTCCCCTCATCGAGCTCATTACGTAGATACCCATATTGCATGGGTTTAAAAGCTTATTCTTAGTCCGAGGCCGCCATATTGGATTTTTGTCCGCCATATTGGATTCCAAAATGGCGGCGGATGTCAATTTTTCACTTCCCCTCATCGAGCCCATTGCGTAGATATCCATATTGCATGGGTTTAGATGAATATTCGCTGTCCAAGGCCGCCATATTGGATTTTGGTCCGCCATCTTGAATTCCAACATGGCGGTGGATGTCGGATTTTTACTTTGACTGTAATACCAATTTATTGATTTTCCGTTTGGTTTTTGCTACCGCAAAATCAGATGAGGTTAAAATCAGCCTTGATTTTCTGCTTTGTGATTTTGCTACTCGCAAGATCAGCTAAAGATAAAATCCGCCGTGATTTTCTGTTTGTGATATTGCTGATCTCAAGATCAGCAGTGATTTTCGACCGTTCCTGATTTTGGATTTTCTTGATTTTTACCATCACTGGTCTGAATTTGAAAATTTACTGCTCCCTGAAATTTGAAAAGATCTCAGACTATCATTGGAATTTCTACAAAATTTCCATCTATAAAACTCCCTGAATCCCCCCGAAATTCTCCAAATTCTAGCAGAGCTTCTATGTATTTCCAAGAACTTATACAAAATCCTTGCTTTACTTGGAAATCGCTCAACTTGTACCAAGATCGGTAAACTGCTATAAACTCACTGCGCTTCAAAGAAGCTTCCGGAGGAGAAATCTAAGGTATTTGTGAGGATAGTTGACCACCCACGATTTGTACAATTGCATATGCTATGCTAAATCTAAGGAATATGTTAGTAGAACTACATTTATTTAAAATGAGAATTTAGAAACTGTAAGTTGAATTCTAAGGGAAGGAGAAAATTCAAAACAATTTTAGACGTAAATTCAGTTCTGAGAATAGTTCCATTGAATTTTTTAGGTGAATGACAAATGAATTCAAAGGTTTTAGTCGAGCTAAAATTGTTTTCGTGAGATAATTCATCGGAAATATCGGGAGAATACTAAGAGCGAACTCAATACACTGTCCGAGAGTTCAAAGTTCTTCGAAAAAATCTAAAACGATACCAGCATGCTCAGAAATTATCGTAAACACCCAAGACTTCAGTATGATCATTCTTCTGGAAATATTCAACAACTCAACACGCCACAGGTATGAAGTTCTTCACATTTCCCTGAAGTTGATATAATATGAACTTCCTTGAACATTCACAAATTCCTCGGAAGATATGTTGTGCAATCTTCAACTTGAATTTCCTTGATGATCTACGAACTTTCCTGAAGTTCTGCGAGCTTGCCTTATGTTTTGAAAATTTATCTGATGATCTATCAACATTTCTGAAGTTCTGTGAACCTCTTTGAAATTCTGCAAAGTTTTTCATGATCTACGAAGTTCTGTAAATTTACCTGAAGATATACAAACTTTCTTTGAAGCTTTGCAAATCTCTCTGAACTTATGCGAACTTCCCTGATGTTCTGTCTATGAAATTTCCCGAAGATCTGCAAATTTTTTTTGAAGACATGCATTCCAGGGGAAGTAAGGTTTTGTATTTTTTTCAAAAAATTGACAAACTTTCTCTAAAATTCCATGAACTTCCGTGATCACCAGTGGTGAGAAATCTGTAATATCAAACAAAACTGTAAACAAATATCTCAAAAATGAAGAAAATCGCCCAAATACTTCAACGCATTTTCCTCTGCTTGTAAAGAAACTAGCTAAAGCGCCTCTTCTTCATCCGACGACAAATCCATTGCTCACGATCGGTACGACGCTGCCAAAAAACTGCCGCTCCGGTGTGGGTACCAACGTGAATTTCGCTCCCGCGGTTAACACGATTTATTCGCTACCGCTGCCGCGGCGTAAAAAACGCCACAGGACAACGAATTCGCATCTGACCATATCACCTAGCACCACTGCTAGATTATGCTTTATGCTGAAGTATTTATGCAAAACTGCACCCCAATTCTCAAACGGTTGAAGTAAATAGAATAATAAAACATAGGGTCAGTGAGCCAGTTTTGGTACTATTGCTTTCTTATTATTATTATTGATTTATGATTTGGCCCTAGGGCTAAAATCAAGCCCGGATAAGCTTGTCTTAAAATTAAATAGGGCTTGTTAGAGATGCACTAGGGCCAATAACTGACACACTTACCCTCTCGTGATGCATCATTGCGGAACAGCAGAAAGCGCGTGGAATTTTGAATAAATTACACACTAGACTTACACTTCCTGCGATATTTATGGTTTCAACCGATGTCCATTTACCAACATAAATGAAAAGTTCTCTGGAATATTTCGCTGCCGAGAAACAATGAAATATGATCAATGAATTGAACACAATAGACGACAGCATTGAATTGCAACATTTCCAATCAGTACATGATTTCCACTTCAGAAACATGCATTTTCCACATGGGCACTATTGAATTAAACCCCTCCAATCAACTTTCTAGGCCGCAGGGGAGCTCCTGATAACGGAAATGGGAAAGCTCAACGATGCAATAATATGCTTCAAAGGTACGACACAATCAACAGATTCGCATTTCATCAACTGGGCCCATCATCATTTCGCGGCTGTCACTGAAAGGCATTTACATATGCATGCACTCTTTTAACACTCTTCCGGCAGCCGGCGGCACAAGTGACTAATAGTGTGAGTGATGTTTACGATAACACACCCCTTTACTAACGTTGAATGCAGCTCTTGTAATTGCTAACCTGATATTATGGTCATTGAAATATAAAAAAAAATATGGGCTGACCGACTCTGTTCGACCGCCACTGTAGAAGCACACTCCGATGCATTACGTGGCAAAGGCCCATCACCGTCGACGTAATTCGTGCTGCACAGGGCAATAAACGAGCATCAGGAAATCTTATCTGCCATTGATCGGCCCATAGACTTTTACTCTTTCTCTCTCACCCTCTCGTTTGTTCGCCAGTAGACTAGCATGCGCTTGAATCACTCTCTCCACTCTATGAACTATAACTAGCGAACTAACTAATCAACTATTGAACTAACAAAAAAGGGACTAATCCTTCTCCCCGGTGGCGTCCGGAAACCTAGAATCTTCTATCCCATAATGTTTCGAAAACTTAAGTGTGCCCTCAATGTCGTTGTAGCCAACATCCTTGAAAGCAGTATCATCTGGAAAAATCCTCGAGTTCCCACAGCAAACCAACAGCACATCACCGATCGGAAGCGACGGAAAAGCGGCTGCACTTGCTACAACGCTCCACATCTTGTCACCTCCGGTGAGACTTCCTGCGGCTGCACTAAAGACGACAACGACGACGACAACGACGACGGCAAAATGGTAGCCGGGACGATCAGTAACTTTCACGCCGAGCAGCGCAATGATCCGCTGGTGCGGGAACTGCGCCGGGTGCGGGAGCTGAACGCTCAGCGCTACAAGGAAGACTACTCGCATGTGTTTCGGTAAGTACCTACCTAGCGGCTGTTCTAATAGAGCAAGCGAACTGTTTGTTTGTCAACACCGACCACAGAGAGATTTAATTTGAAGTTTAAAATAATAACAAACTGTTAGACTCAATTCCACGATCGATCTTAGTGCGAAAACTATGCTTGCTTCATCTGAAAATTGAACTTGGAACAGCCTCTCTCGAAGTCCTGTAAACCTTTTCGTAAAGTTTACTCAACCTACCTTAGGCATCCCATGGTCTGAATGGCTCTAACATTCACCGTATCCTACCCATCCCTTCCACAGAAATAAATCCCGATGGGACTTCATCCGGCTGTCGTTCGTCATCATGGGCATCGAGTTTGTGTACTCGGCCGAGACGGCCTTCGTTTCACCGATTCTGCTGGGAATCGGCGTAGAACATCAGCTGATGACGCTGGTCTGGGCCATTTCCCCGTTGGTTGGTTTCTTCCTGGCTCCGATCCTGGGGACGTTGAGTGATCGCTGCAAGTACAAGTTGGGCCGCAGAAGACCGATCCTGCTGGGGCTGTCCGTGACGATGATGCTAGGTAGGTTTATTTCCAGTGCAATTCAGTTTTGGATCTTGAATACATTTAATGACCGGCAATGCTTTAATTTTAGGTTGCATCTTGGTTCCGTTCGGGGAAAATTTCGGTCGATGGTTCGGTGATTTGGGGGAAATTTTCCCGGAAGAGGCGAACAACATCACCGAGGTGCTGAATTCTAATTTGACCGCTTTCCTGCCGTACGATTTCTACCGGGTGGATAAGGAAATCCTGGACCACGAGATGGACTACAAATGGGCTATCTTTATCACCATATTCGGTACGCTGCTGTTGGATTTCAGTGCCGATACCTCGCAGACGCCTGCTCGGGCCTACCTGTTGGATACGTGCGTTCCAGGTGAGAATTTACTTGGTATTTCCCCTAAATCATCTGGAATCCTGGGAAGGAAATATATGGATTCTTTTGGAATTACTAGAGGGATTCTTCTGGAATCCCTTGAGGGATTCTTCTGGAATCCCTAGAGGGATTCTTCTGGAATCCCTAGAGGGATTCTTCTGGAATCCCTAGAGGGATTCTTCTGCAACCCCTAGAGGGATTCTTCTGGAACCCCTAGAGGGATTCTTCTGGAATCCCTAGAGGGATTGTTCTGGAATTCCAAGAGGGATTCTTCTGAGATCCCAAGAGGGATTCTTCTGGAATCCCTAGAGGGATTCTTCTGCAACCCCTAGAGGGATTCTTCTGGAACCCCTAGAGGGATTCTTCTGGAATCCTTAGAGGGATTGTTCTGGAATTCCAAGAGGGATTCTTCTGGAATCCCTAGAGGGATTCTTCTGGAATCCCTAGAGGGATTCTTCTGGAATCCCTAGAGGGATTCTTCTGGAATCCCTAGAGGGATTCTTCTGGAATCCCTAGAGGGATTCTTCTGGAATCCCTAGAGGGATTCTTCTGGAATCCCTAGAGGGATTCTTCTGGAATTACTAGAGGGATTCTTCTGGAATCCCTTGAGGGATTCTTCTGGAATCCCTAGAGGGATTCTTCTGGAATCCCTAGAGGTATTCTTCTGGAATCCCAAGAGGGATTCTTCTGAGATCCCAAGAGGGATTCTTCTGGAATCCCTAGAGGGATTCTTCTGCAACCCCTAGAGGGATTCTTCTGGAACCCCTAGAGGGATTCTTCTGGAATCCCTAGAGGGATTGTTCTGGAATTCCAAGAGGGATTCTTCTGGAATCCCTAGAGGGATTCTTCTGGAATCCCTAGAGGGATTCTTCTGGAATCCCTAGAGGGATTCTTCTGGAATCCCTAGAGGGATTCTTCTGGAATCCCTAGAGGGATTCTTCTGGAATCCCTAGAGGGATTCTTCTGGAATCCCTAGAGGGATTCTTCTGGAATCCCTAGAGGGATTCTTCTGGAATCCCTAGAGGGATTCTTCTGGAATCCCTAGAGGGATTCTTCTGGAATCCCTAGAGGGATTCTTCTGGAATCCCTAGAGGGATTGTTCTGGAATTCCAAGAGGGATTCTTCTGAGATCCCAAGAGGGATTCTTCTGGAATCCCTAGAGGGATTCTTCTGGAATCCCTAGAGGGATTCTTCTGGAATCCCTAGAGGGATTCTTCTGGAATCCCTAGAGGGATTCTTCTGGAATCCCTAGAGGGATTCTTCTGGAATCCCTAGAGGGATTCTTCTGGAATCCCTAGAGGGATTCTTCTGGAACCCCTAGAGGGATTCTTCTGGAATCCCTAGAGGGATTGTTCTGGAATTCCAAGAGGGATTCTTCTGGAATCCCTAGAGGGATTCTTCTGGAATCCCTAGAGGGATTCTTCTGGAATCCCTAGAGGGATTCTTCTGGAATCCCTAGAGGGATTCTTCTGGAATCCCTAGAGGGATTCTTCTGGAATCCCTAGAGGGATTCTTCTGGAATCCCTAGAGGGATTCTTCTGGAATCCCTAGAGGGATTCTTCTGGAATCCCTAGAGGGATTCTTCTGGAATCCCTAGAGGGATTCTTCTGGAATCCCTAGAGGGATTCTTCTGGAATCCCTAGAGGGATTCTTCTGGAATCCCTAGAGGGATTCTTCTGGAATCCCTAGAGGGATTCTTCTGGAATCCCTAGAGGGATTCTTCTGGAATCCCTAGAGGGATTCTTCTGGAATCCCTAGAGGGATTCTTCTGGAATCCCTAGAGGGATTCTTCTGGAATCCCTAGAGGGATTCTTCTGAGATCCCAAGAGGGATTCTTCTGGAATCCCTAGAGGGATTCTTCTGCAACCCCTAGAGGGATTCTTCTGGAACCCCTAGAGGGATTCTTCTGGAATCCCTAGAGGGATTGTTCTGGAATTCCAAGAGGGATTCTTCTGAGATCCCAAGAGGGATTCTTCTGGAATCCCTAGAGGGATTCTTCTGGAATCCCTAGAGGGATTCTTCTGGAATCCCTAGAGGGATTCATCTGGAATCCCTAGAGGGATTCTTCTGGAATCCCTAGAGGGATTCTTCTGGAATCCCTAGAGGGATTCTTCTGGAATCCCTAGAGGGATTCTTCTGGAATCCCTAGAGGGATTCTTCTGGAATCCCTAGAGGGATTCTTCTGGAATCCCTAGAGGGATTCTTCTGGAATCCCTAGAGGGATTCTTCTGGAATCCCTAGAGGGATTCTTCCGGAATCCCTAGAGGGATTCTTCTGGAATCCCTAGAGGGATTCTTCTGGAATCCCTAGAGGGATTCTTCTGGAATCCCTAGCGGGATTCTTCCGGAATCCCTAGAGGGATTCTTCTGGAATCCCTAGAGGGATTCTTCTGGAATCCCTAGAGGGATTCTTCTGGAATCCCTAGAGGGATTCTTCTGGAATCCCTAGAGGGATTCTTCTGGAATCCCTAGAGGGATTCTTCTGGAATCCCTAGAGGGATTCTTCTGGAATCCCTAGAGGGATTCTTCTGGAATCCCTAGAGGGATTCTTCTGGAATCCCTAGAGGGATTCTTCTGGAATCCCTAGAGGGATCGATTCTTCTGGAATCCCTAGAGGGATTGATTCTCCTGGAATCCCTAGAGGGATTGATTCTCCTGGAATCCCTAGAGGGATTGATTCTTCTGGAATCCCTGGAGGGATTCTTCGGGAATCCCTTGAGGGATTCTTCCAGAATCCCTAGAGGGATTCTTCTGGAGTCCCTAGAGGGATTCTTCTGGAATCCCTAGAGAGATTCTTCTGGAATCCCTAGAGAGATTCTTCTGGAATCCCTAGAGGGATTCTTTTGGAATCCCTAGAGGGATTCTTCTGGAATGCCTAGAGGGATTCTTCTGGAATCTCTAGAGGGATTCTTCTGGAATCTATAGAGGTATTCTTCTGAAATCCCTAGAGTGATTCTTCTGGAATCCCTAGAGAGATTCTTCTGGAATCCTCATAAGGATTATTTTGGAATCCCTAAAGGGATTCTTCTGGAATCCCTAGAGGGATTGATTCTTCTGGAATCCCTAGAGGGATTTATTCTTCTGGAATCCCTAGAGGGATTCTTCGGGAATCATTAGAGGGATTCTTCTGGAATCCCTAGAGAGATTGATTCTTCTGGAATCCCTAAAGGGATTGATTCTTCTGGAATCCCTAGAGGGATTGAATCTTCTGGAACACCTAGAGGGTTTGATTCTTCTGGAATCTCTAGAGGGATTCTTCTGATTCCCCTAAATGAATCGTCCTGGAATCCCTGAAGAAATCATTATAGAATCTCTGAATAGATCCTCCTGAAATCCCTTTAAAAATTCTTTCAAAAATTACATAACAATACCCTTCAAAATTCAATTTTCAGAGGACCACGGTCGCGCCTGCAGCACATTTTCGATCATGGCCGGCATCGGAGGCAGCTTGGGTTACATGCTCGGTGGAATCAACTGGGACGACACGAGTTTCGGCGATTTTCTCGGAGGCAGCATCAAAACCGTATTCACCATCGTTGGTATAATCTTCATCATATGCCTCATCCTCACGGTGTCCAGCTTCCGTGAAATCCCGCTCCCGTTGATGGAAAAGGATGACTTGCTGCGACCGTTGACCGAGTCTATCGTCAAGAAGGAACGGGCCAAAATGGATGACAAGATCTTCTACATCAAGGATGTGAGTCGGTCCTTTGCGATGCAGCTGCAGACGATCGACGAAACGACTCAGCCTCCGGCACCGCAGATGATCAACAACGCGCTAGCCGCGGAGACAGAAAAGAAACAAACGGTCGAACCAGCATGTTCGACGTCGGACTCCGACTTAGACGATGAAGAGAAAGCGATGTCTCTGAAGGACTTCCTGAAGAGTATTGTCATGATGCCTAAATCGATTGCGATTCTTTGCTTTACGAATCTGCTCTGCTGGATGGGACATTTAAGCTTCTGTTTATACTTCACCGACTTTGTCGGCGAGGAGGTGTTCAAGGGAAATCCGGCAGCTCCGTCGACATCGGAATCCTATCAGCTGTACCTGGAAGGAGTCCGCTATGGATGTTTCGGGCTGGCAATCTACTCGCTGGCCTGCTCGTGCTATTCGTTTACGATCGAGAAATTGATCAAGGTTCTCCGCGCCCGCATTGTCTACTGCGGTGGACTGCTAATCGATGCCATCGGGATGATTCTAATGGCCATTTACCCAAACAAGGTGACAGTATTCGTGTTCAGTGCTACCGGAGGAATTGTCTACGCATTGCTGTTTACTATGCCTTTCCTGTTGATTGGACAGTATCATGCTAAGGGACAGGTTTGTTACAGATTGATCTTCGATAAATTTCAAATAACCAATACAATTCCCCTCGTTATAGTTCAAAGCAAATAAGTCGACGGCAACGGATAAACCGGAAAAGAAGCGTGGTTTGGCAACCGACATAGCCGTAGTCGGGGGAATGATATTCGTTGCACAGATCATCGTTTCGCTGTGCATAGGATCGTTGATTGAAGCGCTGGGAACGACGGCTGCCGTAATCTACACGGCCGGTACTTGTAGTTTTCTGGCAGCACTGGCATCAACGCAGGTCGTCTATATGGATTTGTAAAACCCCTCTCAGGCTGGCCCAGGGCGGCAGTAGCGCAATCGCAGAAGTTCTCACGACAAGATCTACTTGATACGAAAGCAGACCTCCACTGATAAACGATATTTACCTATATTTTAATAATATGTTACCTCCAAATGGATTGAATGATAGAAGCATTTTACAATATCGGTAATGTTATGTGATATACGTCAACTGTATTTTATACGTATAGGTTTAAGGTCACCCCTCAACGTTAGGTTTCTGATATCAAATAAATTTAAGATAGGAATAAACCTTGATTGGCGTGTTTTGCTTTGTGCCTCAACGGGAAATCCATTGAAATGTGAGTGAGTTGCAAATTTTCCTCTGCGTAGGCCAATTTCAAAATGATTAAATTGGTTTATTGACCTGTTTGAAACGTTTACGATGCTTTTGATAAAAATTAGTGGCCACTTGGGAATTTATCAGCATTTCAAGGCATTACCAAGATAACCAGACTGATTGATTATCAGCCGCGTGTAGTGATAAACATTTCGGGTGACGTCTCCGATGAAGCGTGCTTGCAGTAAAGTCAAAGGCGACTAGCGGGATTGATAATCGCATTATGAGTAACTTTAGCTTTGATGGATGCATTTTTAACGATTGAGTTGACATTTACGATCCCAGTAGCAGTTTATCCTGTTGTATATTTCTTGCGGGTCTGCATGCGTCATTGCAAATTAGATTACGATTGGATCAACAATATATTATATTGAATTGATGCAGGATAAGTAACGACTTCGGCATAAGCGCCTACTTCCGTCATAACAAGCAAAATACCTCAAATATTTCAATAATTTAGAGGTGAACGCGTTGATAATTCGTTTGGTAAAATAATTTTTTTTTACAAGCTGTAGTGTATTAGAACGCATTGTATAAATATTAACAGTTTCGGTTGTGCTTTTTACGTTGGAAATTGGATCTTAACCCTATGTCTTGACGAATCTTCATCAAGCGTCTGCATCTCTTTCCTTCCCAGACTTTAATGGACAGTTCAAGCACCTTCTATCTTGATCTACTCAAACTGGTCTCATGGTTTGCTACAATTATTCTATGAACAGATTCCCGACCACAATCTTAAAGCTTCTATTTGGTGTTATCACAGTCCAGGGACAGCTCATTAGGAAAAAAATCGGTTTAATTTTAAGGTGTTACGGACTCACCACATTCCACATCGAACGCTCGACTGTTTCGGTCAAGTATTGCTTGCACTCCGTAATCGGTACTAGTTTTTTTCCCCTATTGAGGTTTTTTTTTCAATCCGCTTTCATACTGAGTGGTGTTGTAGTATACAACAGTGCAGTGAGCATCGCGGAATTGTAATTGCCGCTCAATCGTTCGAGAAAGGAAGCAGTCATTTCCGGCCGAGTCCGGCAGATGAGCTGTACATCTCTAACCAACAAGTTTCATCGCATCACGAAACGGCAAACTCAAGGTCATCGAGTTCACCAGCCGGCGAGCCAGCCGGTGCTTTGTTGCAAACACTCGAGGGCAACAATAGAACGATCAGCACCATCATTCTCACATCAGGATAGATCATCGTCATCAGCCACACTCCGTGCGCTTGTGTGGAGAGTTAAGTAACAAACGGTTATCTTCCGTTCTCCGCAACCTGATTAATCTCCATACAGTGTTGATTAACTTTTCTGACACCTTTTTGTTTTTTCCTGAAAAATTTTTCATTTTTTTTTTCTCTTTTTTTTCATTTACTGTTTTTTTTTTTTTTTGCAAGTTGATTAATCTCCCTATAGTGTTGATTAACTTTCCTGGCATTATTTTTTCCATTTTAAAGTTTTTTTTTTTTTTTTGCTTTGTTGGATTAAGTATTATTTTTACCGTTATATTTTTGGATAAGTTTATTTTTTTCTTATTTTTTTTTTATTTATTATTTTTTTTTTTCTCAACGCATATATATATATATATATATATATATATATATATATATATATATATATATATAAATATATATATATATTTCCTTTTTTATGTCGAAATCTGTTGCGGAGGTACTTAAGACCCCGCAATGGATGAAACCAATGATGGCGGGGGTATTTCGCTAGCAGATATCTCCGATGATGAGTCTGTTAAATCTCCATCATTCGAAAATCTGCTTCTCACTGAAGAGGAAATGGATACCTCAGGGGATTCTACTTCGGACCCCAAAACGAGCACTGGAGCTTACCCAAAGGTGATGTCTAAACAACAACCTCCTTCACCCCCTGCCCCCCCTTCTCCACCATCGCCCCCTCGTCCACCTGTTCCCCCTACTCCAACCGTTCCCTTAAAAATTTCTGCGACCCCCCGCCATAAAGCTTACCCAAGCGACTCAAAAGGTCCGTGGGTTGTTTTTTTCCGGCCCAAACAAAAACCTTTGAATATTTCTCGGATTTCGAAGGATCTGACAAAACATTTTTCGGCCGTAACCGATATCTTTAAGGTAACGTCAAACAAACTGCGCGTTACCGTTGATGACCTGAAACAGGCAAACCGGATTGTTGCCTGTGAGCTTTTTTCGATCGAATATCGAGTCTACGTCCCCAGTTGTGACGTAGAAATTGAAGGAGTGGTCACCGAATCGAGTCTGACTTGTGAGGATTTCCTGCAAGTCGAATCTTTCGGCATTTTCAAAAACCGTGCCCTCCCGAAAGTCAAGATACTGGACTGCATTCAACTGCAGTCAGTGTCGCACATAGGCACAAAAAAAAAGTATACCCTCTCAGATTCGTTTCGTGTGACCTTTTCAGGATCGGCATTACCTGACTACGTCACAATTGGGAAGGTTCGACTACCTGTACGCTTGTTTGTACCGAGGGTAATGAATTGCTTGAAATGCAAACAACTAGGTCACACCGCGGACTTTTGTTCCAACAAACCGCGGTGCGATCAATGTGGGGAGGAGCATACGGAGGGTCCTTGTCATGCTACCCCAAAATGCGTTTACTGTAAGGATGCTCCGCATGCTCTGAGTGATTGCCCGAAGTACAAACAGCAGGGAGAAAAACTAAAGCGGTCTTTGCAAGCTCGCTCTAAGCGCTCGTTAGCAGAAATTTTAAAAACGACCGCTTCATCTTCCCAAACCACCCCAAAAAGCAACAACACATTCCACCTCCTGCCAGATGATGATCAGGGCTCTGACTCAGAGGTGGGTGAGAGTAGTCCTTTTGTCTTTAATGGCAACACGAGGAAGCGGTCCAAAATAAACGTCACCCAAAAACCTCGTAAGGCCTCTCGTATGGACTACCAACCTACCTTGACAAATTTAAGAGGTAGCGGAAATGTACCGAAACCCCCACCACCGGGATTTAAATCTTGTAATTTTAACAAGGACTTTCCGCCACTTCCGGGATCATCTAAAACCCCAGATATCCCAGTTTTTCAGCCAGAAAAACAGCTGAATAATCAGCAAGAACATGATGCCATGTTCACGTTTTCTGAAATTGTGGAGAGCATCTTCAATATATTCAACGTCTCTGACTCAACTCGGAACATTATTAATTTAGTGCTTCCATTCGTGAAAACTCTTTTGAAGCAACTAGCTTCTAGGTGGTCCTTCCTTGCATCGATCATATCCTTTGATGGATAATTTTCCGAATGAGGTCGGGGATATGATCTCTGTTCTTCAGTGGAACTGTAGAAGTCTTATACCGAAACTTGACACATTCAAATTTTTAGTTCACAACTCACTTTGTGATGCATTTGCTCTTTGTGAAACATGGCTTTCTTCAGACACCGATCTCCCTTTCCACGATTTTAACATTATTCGCCTTGATCGAGCAGATTCGTATGGAGGGGTGCTTCTCGGGATTCATAAGCTCCATTCCTTTCATAGAATCGATCTGCCTTCCGTGACAGGCATTGAAGTTGTCGCATGTCAGGTAAATATTCGAGGTAAAAGCCTCAGTATTGCCTCAGTATATCTTCCTCCAAGAACTGCGATTTCTCGCCAAGGTCTCTCAGATATCTGCTCAGCTTTATCTGAGCCTCGGTTGATATTAGGAGATTTTAACTCCCACGGTACAGGCTGGGGGGAACTGTACGATGACAACCGCTCAACCCTGATATACGACCTTTGCGATAACTTCAATATGACAATTCTAAACACTGGGGAAGTAACACGAGTGGCCAAACCTCCAGCAAGAGAAAGTAGATTAGACCTCTCCCTCAGTTCGAGTTCACTATCGTTGGATTGCTCGTGGAAAGTAATTCAAGATCCCTACGGTAGTGACCACTTGCCAATCAAAATTTCTATTACCAATGGTTCATCTTCCACTCGCTCGGTTGACATCGCGTACGACCTCACGAAAAACATCGACTGGCAAAAATTTGCGTCCGCGGTTCTCGGTGGTACTGATTCGGTTGAGATACTCCCTCCGCTGGATGAGTACTCCTTTTTATCGCGACTTATCGTTGACTGCGCTCTTCAAGCACAGACGAAACGCGTTCCGGGTGTTTTCGTTCGCAAACGACCTCTCACTCCGTGGTGGGATAAGGATTGCACCGACGCGAACAGCGAGAAGTCCGCCGCGTTTAAACGCTTCCGCAAACACGGTAAGGTCGAGGATTTCGAGCGGTACACCGACCTCGAGAAAACTTTTAAGAGCTTGATTAAAGCCAAAAAACGCGGTTACTGGCGTCGGTTCGTCGATGGTTTGTCGAGAGAGACTTCGATGAGAACACTCTGGAATGTCGGCAGGAGAATGCGCAACGCGTCATCACCGGTCAACGAAGACAAGGAGTACTCAGACAGTTGGATATTCAGCTTCGCGCAGAAAGTTTGCCCGGATTCGGTGTCGGTTCAAACCAACGTTCGTGATAGTCCGTCGGGTAGTAACGAAATAGATTCTCCGTTTTCGATGGTGGAATTCTCACTTGCTCTCCTCTCATGTAACAACTCAGCTCCAGGAATGGATAGAATCAAGTTCAACTTGCTCAAAAATCTCCCAGACGTCGCGAAGAGACGCTTGTTGAACTTATTCAATCAATTTCTGGAGCACAACATTGTTCCGGATGATTGGAGGCAAGTAAGAGTTATCGCCATTCGAAAACCCGGTAAACCCGCGTCGGATTATAACTCGTACCGTCCCATCGCGATGCTGTCCTGTATACGGAAATTGTTGGAGAAAATGATTCTTTTTCGTCTAGACAAATGGGTCGAGTCGAATGGTTTACTTTCAGACACGCAATTTGGATTTCGGAGAGCCAAAGGAACGAGCGACTGTCTTGCGTTGCTTTCAACTGAAATTCAACTGGCCTATGCGCA